GAATCAGACTCAGCTTAATCTTTAAACTGACATCAGCATTCTTCAAGACTTTGGAGAGGTCCCTGATAGCAAACTTTTCCAATGCTATCTGCAGCCACCAATATGGATTGAAGCTCAACATCAAGAAAACAAAGATTCTCACTACTGGACCAGTTAGCTGCATCATGATAGGTGGTGAAGAAATTGAGCTTGTCATCAGCTTTAGTTTGCTTGGTTCCACAAGCAACACTCTTGGGACCAGCAGCCAGGAAATCAAAAGACAAATTGTGTTGGGTAAGTCTGCTGTCAGGGACATCTCCAGAGTACTGAAGAGCAACAGTGTCAGTCTGGAGACTAAGGTGTGCTTGATCCAGGCCATAGTCTTCGCAACTTGCTCTGCAACAGAAAGCTAGACAATGACTTAGGGATGATAGAAGGAGAATTGATGTCTTTGAGCTTTGGTGCTGGAGGAGAGTATTGAATATATCATGGACTTGCTAAGAGAACAAATGGTCTTCCTGGAGAGGGTGCAACCAGGCTGCTCCTTGGAGGCAAGGATTCTGAAACTCCATCTGACATACTTTAGGCATGTTACAAGGTGAGACTAGTCCTTAGAGAGGGACATTATGTTTGGAGGGTGTAGAGACAGCGTAGGAGGGGAAGACCTTCAGTGAGATGGATTGGCTCAGTGACTGGAGTAATGGGGGTAGGTGTGTCAAAGACAATAAGGTTGACTCAGGATAGATCGAGGTTTAGAGTTGTTTTACATAGGGTCACTATGAGTAGCAAGAGACTTGACGGCACACAGCAACAATAACAGCATACATCCCCAGATTTGTTGACTGCTGGTACCAAGGGTGTTGACTGTGTAAGATGACATTATTGACAATTTCAGTGTCTTCTCCATCTTTTTAGTATTGCTTATTGGCCATTGATGAGGTTTTTATTTTCTTGGCATTGAAATAATACATATTGAAGGCTTTAGTCCTCGATTTTCTGTAGCAAGCGCCTCAAGCCTTCCTTGCTTTCAGCAAGCAAGGTTGTGTCGTCTGCATAACGCATATTGTTTATGTGTCTTCCTCCAAACCTGATGCCACATTCTTCTTCACTTAAGTCCAGCTTCTCAAATTATTTGCTCAGCATACAGATGGAATAGGTGTGCAGAAAGGATCCAACCCTGACAGACCAAAAAACCAGGTGGCTGTTAATAGAAAGGTCAGCTGTTCGAATCTGGCTGCTGCTCTGCCAGGGGGAAATGGCACACTGTCCTCTCATAATAATTTACAGCCACACAAACCCAATGTTGCTAAGTCACCATAGGCTCTGAGGCAGTAATTTTGGGTTTGGATCCTGTGTTATTGAAGATCTCCAGGGTTTAGTACAGGACTTTGACTAATAGGCTACATAACCAAAACGAAGGAGTACAGCCTCTTACCCAATACCAGTCACAGGGAATTAATTACAAGACTTCCATGTCCAGGCAAGAAGTCAGCATCTACGTGAGCTAGTTCCCTTTGCCCTAGTGATTTCTGACCCTCTCCAGAAAGAAAATCTGTTGTTCCAAGTTTGGAAAAATACAAGGCAGTTAGAGATGAGCACAGCTGCTTTTCTTTCATGGAAGACTCAATTTTTACCACCTGTTGAAAATGCATGTAATACTGTGTTCTTATTGCCATTATTGGGGCATGTCTCTTTTTATTTCATAGTCACCAGAAGCAAAATGATCCTCCTCTTAGACATTTGCTAATATCTATAGTATCCTCCTCATGTTTTGAATAGTGTTCCACCCACCCATAGTCAGCTCTATTCCATTGTAAATATTTCTGCTTATTATCCCATGCAGTAGTGTGCCCAGTGTAACAGCCACCAGCTGAGTTCATGTCCCAGAGGTCAGTGTTATCAGATTCTAGAGTTGTCTTCTCAGCTGTACAGTAGCAGCTGTGTAGTGTGGCCTAGATAGTAAAGGATTTATCTCTGTATTTTGGCCTAGTAACTACTATTTGCAATCACTTGTTATGCCTCAGAGAGTTGGACAGTTACTAGGGAGGATAGAAGGAGAATTGATGCCTTTGAGCTTTGGTGTTGGAGAAGAGTATTGAGGGTACCATGGACTGCTAAGAAAACAAACAGATTCATCTTGGAGAGGGTTAAACCAAGCTACTCCTTGGAGGCAAGGATTCTGAGGCTTCGTCTGACATACTTTGGTCATGTTCTAAGGAGAGAGACTGGTCCTTAGAGAAGGACATCATGCTTGGGAGGATGGAGAGCAGGCGCAGGACGGGAAGGCCCACTAGGAGATGGATTGATTCGGTGACTGGGGTAATTGGGATGAGTGTGTTGGAGACAATGAGATTGGCACAGGACAGAACAGAGTTCAGGGCTGTTGTACATAGGGTCGCTATGAGTCACAAGCGACTCGATGGCACATAACAACAACAACAATTACTATTGGTTTACCTTGTTGGGACAATGTATTAAAAGGAGAGAAGATTGAAGTAACACTGTGTTTTGAAACCAGACTGTCATTTCCTAACTGGGCCTCCTTTTTCTCATCTGTAAAATGGAGATAACACTAATGAGATTGTTGTGCCTTACACATTATAGGGTCTCGGTTAGTATTGCAGTTGACATTAATCTCTGTTAAGTGATATGTAATGAGAGGAAGTAGCCTGACAAGCTAAAATCTTTTTGTCTTGCACTGATCATCTTGGCTGAGAAAGAATGAAGAACATTGTTTTTAGGCTGGAGTATTTCTAAATCATCAGGAATGTTCTGTAATCACAACAGATGTTTTCTTGAATTAAGGAGTAGAACTGTAATCGTATGCCATTGTGTGAAGATTGCCATTTTTGAAGAGTTAGTAACCACACATTCCTTGCAACCTAAGGTAAAGCAGCTCTTCAACTCAGAGTTAAGGCATTCTTCTTAAATGAACCTAATAAGAATTATTCCAACCATTGGCTTTCCTCAGTGTTAGGGTAGTAACTAAGGAAGTAAACTGATAAGAGCAGTGCCACCGCTTCCTTCTAGGTAACAGCCCTTTGGATAAATCCAGAGTTAAGTACTTGACCAAGTCAAACAACTTTGCTTCCAGGTTCCTTCACGTCAGTGATTGTATGTACTCTGGTCCTTTTTTTTCTTTCAAGGCTGTTCATATAATTATGTCCTTTACAGCCTCTGAAAACCCACTAAAGGATCAGCTGTGAGTTGATTCCAACTTGACAGCACACAACAACAACACTTGTATAGATTGGAAAAGGTAACCTGTGTGGAGTGTTATGGGAAGCGCAGACACATTGTTGAACATTCCTGTTTGTAAGGGCTTATACATTGGTTATTAATGCTCAAAACTGACATTGTTGTTGCTGTGTGCCATCGAGTTGGAATCAACTCATAGCTGACCATACGGTCAGGTTTTCAGAATCTAAATAGCACAGGAGGGAAATTCCTGTCTTTCTCCCTCAGAGCAGACAGTTTATTCGAACCACCTACCTGAGTTGGCAGTGGAACTCCTTACCACTAGGCCACAAGAGCAGTCCCTAAATTATACAGTGTTCATGGCATTTCTTTATATGACATATACATAAATGGAATATTTATAAAATGCCATGTAAAGTTATAAATTATATGACATTTTCTTTAACACAAAGATTGCATCACTAGGGTTAAGCATGATAGAGATCATGAGGACGGCGCAAGATCGGGCAAGGTGTGGTTGTATTGTTCATAAGGTTTAAAATGAGTCAACAATTACTTGATGTCGCCTAACAACAGCCACCGTGTGGTTCACTTTTAAGATGACTTCAGGGAGTATTTTTGACTTAAGGTTTGAAGATGATCTCAAGGCAAGATTTTGAGTATTTTTTTCAGCCTCCATGATGCCAGAGCATGATGGTCTTTTAAAAACTCATTCTGTGGCACCAAAGTTAGCAACAGCAATTTGAAAGAGCAGGGTGAGATGAATTTATGGTTATGGGGAAGGAATAACTCTGAAAAGGAAGATGGTTGCACAACCCAAAAAAAGAGCATTGTCGTGGAGTTGTGGCAATGTTCCGGCATCAAGGTTACAGCCTGGGAAGCCTGCCGACTGCGATCCAGTTCCACTGTGGCCTGTCTGATTGCTGTGAGCTAGAATCACCTTGAAAGGAGCAGGTTAACGCTGTTTCACAAGAGGCTGAGAACACCAGTGCAAGTCATGTGTGGTCACAGAGCGGGAGTGCTGGGGCACTGAGATCCTTCCACTTGGCATCTCCCTATTACTGCCTCTCAATGACAGACTCTCTGAAGACTCAGCTGAGAATAGTCTGTTTCTCTATTTATCTAGTCATAAGCATCATTTGCATGTTTTTCTGGCACCAGTCTGGCTCCATCCAGCGAGTATGATTTGTGTGAATGAGTTAATCTGGGGAAAGGAGTTTATGAGTAATCAAGGCCTCACTCATCTTTTTGTCTCCTTTTTTTTATATATAATTATGACTGTCAGATAATATTTTTTTTTTAGGATCTATTCCAAGTCTAGGTAGGAGTTCAAAAGTGTATGCATTTATTAAAACATTATTGAGTTGTAAAAAAAAAATGTGAAAGAAAGCTTACCTGGTAGGAAGCCCATGGCAACCTCGTAGGACGCCAGAGCTGTCCCACAGGGTTTCAAGGGCTGCTGCCACCTCTTCCCTGGAGTAGCTGGTCAGTTAGACCTTTTGGTGAGCATTTAACACATTTAACCACTGTGCCGCTACGCCACCTCTAGAACTGCTTTGAACTGGCATCAACACAACAGCAGAGGGTATGGTGGTAGTTGTGTTTCAGGGGAGAAACAGCTTTGTTTAGATAAAATGCTTATTAACAGATCCTGGTTGCCAACTCTAAATGTTGTACCATTGCCAAGAAGCTGCCGGGGTTTTAAATCAAAGAGCTAGAACAAAGTTTCCTTTTTTCTCCCTCCTCTAGATGTGATGATGCTTTACAGCTGTTTCCCAAGTCAGCACTGTTACATGTGTGTGGATCCCAGAACTGGCTGAGAGATGGAGGAACCTCCGCAAAATGATCAGACTATGACGAGCCTGGAGGAAGACGACCCTCTCAACAGCACCAGCCCCCAGATTTCCGTCAGTGAATTTTCTTGCCACTGCTGTTATGACATCCTGGTCAACCCTACTACCTTGAACTGTGGGCACAGCTTCTGTCGGCACTGCCTAGCTTTATGGTGGGAGTCATCTAAGAAAACAGAGTGTCCTGAATGCAGAGAAAAATGGGAAGGCTTCCCTAAAGTCAATATTCTCCTCAGGTAATGCTCAGCCTCTTTAGGTCATGCATAAAGCTTCCAGGGTGGTGGTTTGTTGTTGTTTGTTTTGTTGTTTTTTTTAAAAAAAAAGGAACAACTTGCCTTTCTAAAGCCCCAAGGCGTGGATGGTGGATCTGGTCTCTTTGGCCATTTTGAATCATCCGAAAAGTGAGTCAAAAGAACACAGAGATCCAAGCATGAAGAATCCCTTCCTCACAAAATTCTGATTCTGTTGAATCAGAACTAACTTACAGCTGACCCTCCGGCAGGTTTTCAGAGGCTGTGACTCACTGCCAATCTTTCTCTGCCAGAGCAATTGGTGGAACCTTCTGCCTTTGGATTGGCAGCACAGAGCTTAGGCCACCAGCACTCCCTAATCCTCAACAAGTGGCCATAATTGGTTTCTTTTTTATTGTAAATTTAAAATATTCTTGTTATCAGACCATTGCTTATATGTTATACTTTTTACTGACTGTTCTGTGCTGTGAAGTCAGAAGTGACCTATAGCTGACCCTCCAGTGCATTTTCAGAAGCAGTTAATCGAATGGGAGGAGATTACCTATCTTTCTCCATCAGAACAGCTGGTGGATTCAAACCTTTGAGATTGCAGTGCAGCTTCTTATCACTAGGCCACCAGAGGACCCTTTTTACTTACATCATCCTATATTTCATAGAGCAAATGGTATGATTTCTAGAATAACTGGTTTGTGACTAGTCTTTAAATGAATAAACCCTGTTCCTGTTTTAAAGTGATATGCCATGGCAAGTAACAAGATTTTTCAGGCAGCCCCAATCTTTTCTGCTTCCTTGCAGTCACAAGTCCCCGTGAGGTCTTTGACTCCACCTCTGTTGCTTCAGCAAGGTATTCTGCCTTCCTGATCAAAAAAGAATAAAGTTCCACGAAACCATTAACCCAACATTTTCTTTTTTCACATTTGCCTTTATAAGCACATTGTCCTTAACCTGTCAACATTGCTTTACCTGAAGGTGGATCTTAAATTGAAAGGATATTTTGGTTGTGTGTAGTTGAAAATTAACACAGTCCTACTTTTAATAGTTTGCCCAGTGGTTGATCTTTTTCTCGTTCTTGTATTATTTTTAGTAGCATAAGCAACATTCATAACATATTTTTTTTTAAATTGGAACATTATTGATAAAATGGAAGACTACTTTGACCTGTCCTTTCATTTTAAAATCCTCCCTCCCTTTTTCCTAATTTTTAAAAATTTACTGTGATTTGAGTGAAAGTTTACAAGGTGTATTGGTTTTTCAGTCATTCATACCCATTTTATTTTATAACATTAATTACAATATGTGAAGCAGAAACACACTTTCCCTAGTTGCTCTATAATTCTCATTCCCATTAATCTTTCTGTCTAGTAGATCTGTCCTTCATCAAAAGTGGTGTATGGGAGTTTCCTACAATTATTTGGGTATGTCTGTTTCTCTGTTGAAATTTGTTCAAGTGTGATTTACGTATCTTGAGACTTTGTCATTAGGTATATAGCTATTAATTATAGCTATGTCCTCCTGTTCAGTTGACCCTTTGAAGTCTATTTGATCAGAAGTTTATATTGTCATTCCTGGTCTTTTTTTATCATTTTACTTTATTATTAATTTACTTTTTTTTTTAGTCTATCTTTGCCTTTGTGTCCAAGGGACCTCTTGTAGACAGAAATTTGATGGGTCGTGTTTTTATCGTATCTGTTCTACTACTCTTTTTCTCTTGATGGTACATTTAATCCATTCATATTCAGTGTTATTTTCAGTAGGTATGATTTTTGGCTGTCAGTTTGCTACGCTTTTTTTATGTATTGTTGCTGGTTTCTTTGTTCCATCTCCTTTCTTGTGTTGAGTTAATTTGTGTTGACCTACTCCCCCTCCCACTCTCATTTGCTTCATTGCTGTTGTTTTAGTGTCTATTATGACTGCAGCCTTCAATATGGATTATATCAACATCAAGAAAACAAAAGTTCTTGCCACTGGACCCAAATAGGCAAAGTTGCGACAGATGGAGAAAAGATTGAAGTTGTAGTGATTTTACTTGGATCTATAATGAACACCTAGAATAACAGCAGTCAAAAAAATCAAGACTTGTTGTCTTGGGAAAATCTGCTGTCAAGGACGTCATCATAGTTTTTAAGAGCAAGGATGTAAATTTAAAGACTAAGATGCACCTGATCAAAGAGATAGTCTTTCATGTTATTTCCTATTCATCTGAAAGTTGGATAATGAATAAGGATTAAAGAAGAATCTTCAATGTCTTTGAGTTGTAGTGTTGGACAAGAGTACATGGACTGCCAGCAGAACAGACAGGTGTATCCTAGAAGAAGTGCAACAGGGAACTCTTAGAGTCAAGGTGGTCAAACATTTTCATATACTTTAGACATATTGTCAGGAGGAGCAAGTCTTTAGAAAAAGAGATCATGTTGGGAAAGATAGAGCATCAGAGAAAGAGGAAGGTCGTCGGCAAGAAAGATTGATCCAATGACTAGCAATGGGCTTTAGTGTACAGAAATGGTGAAGATGAAGAGGAGGGGGCAAGGTTCAGATCTGTTGTTCATAGGGTCACTAAGAGTCTGTAGGGACTTGAGGGCAACTGACAGCAACAAAAATAAAGTCATGATAATTTTTTTTTTATAAATGGTTTATTATTTTTCTTTGAGATTACCCTCAAATTTATTATTATACTAGATTATTTATGAAATTCTAATACATTGTATTCCAGAACAGATTCTTCCAATTTCTCTCATGCCCACACCTACCAAATTATACAACCTTGTGATTAACCCCCCCACACACATCCTCATCCCTCTGCTTCTACCCTTCCACACCCCCCCCTTGGATTCTTATACTCATTCTACAATAATGGTTTTGTTCAGTCCTGTGGGACTAAGTTCACTCAGCATAATGCTCTCCTGTCCTTCCCAAGTTAGGTAGTATTCCATTGTATGAATGTACCGTAATTTCTCAGTCCATTCGTTTGTGATTGGACATTTGGGCTATTTCCATGTTTTTGCTGTGGTGAATAATGTTGCTGTGAACGTTAGTGTACAAGTTTCCATTTGTGCCTATGTTCTCGTTTTCTCAGGGTATATTCCAAGCAGTGGAATAGCTGGGTCATATGGAATTTCTATGTTCAGCTTTTTGAGGAAGCGCCAAATTGCCTTCCAGAATGGTTGTACTATTTTACAATCCCATATTATTTTATTCTTATGTCTTAAGACAGTTTACTTTATCTTGAAATCATTTGGCTATCTCTATATTTGGACGCTGTATAACTACACTAATTATTCTTTTTATTTTTTGGTTTTTCTCATTTATAGATTAATACTTTTGGCTCCCTATTTTCAGTCTCATAATCAGTACTTTGGGTACTGCTTTGGTTTTAAATGACGATGTGATATCGTGTGCTAATTTGGGGTTGTTGTCTGTTGTTGGGTCTCTAAGGAGTTCTGTCTAATATATTTTGTTAGAGTGATCTAGTTTTCACACTATCCTTAGTTTCTCTTTATCTAGAAATGCCTTAATTTCACCATTATATTTAAAGGACAGTTTTGCTGGGTATATAACCCTTGGCTGACAATTTTCTTTGTCTTTGATTCTAGAAAATTTTATTATACTGCGTCTTGGTGTTTTTCTTTTGGAATCTGTCCTGTTTAGCATTCACTCAACTTCTCAAATGTATGTTTTCTCATTTTCGTATTTGGGAAGTTGTTTGTTTTTTTTTCTTCAGCAAATCTTCAACAGTTTCCTCTGTTCTTTTTTTGTCTCTTTCTGTTCTGGAATTCCAGTTACATGTAAGTTATTCCTCTTTTTAGTCCCCCATAACTTTTGGGCTTTTTTCACTTTCCTTTCCTCTTTATTCTGATTACTCTTTTTTTTAAGTTTTCACCTTTAGTGAAATGACTTTGGAAATAATGTACATTTCCATGACACTGACACTACAGTTTCTGCAGTCATAGTAAGATCATAGAGTTAGACCCACTCCATAAGTAATATGAATGCCAACATCTCCAGTAATTATTTCTGTTACATAATAAACAAAACCTCTGGCTTCAAACCACGCAAATCCCAGGATAGCATATGAGAACAGCTATTGCTTCAGCGAAGGATTCTGGCAAAGCCGGTAATGAGGCTGCCAAAGACTGTCCCAATACCAACACCCGAACCAGCCACTCCTACTGTTACAGCTCCTGCACCAGTAAATTTGACCGCACTATCCACGTCTCTGTGGATTGCACTGGTTTGAGCTGTTGGATTAGTGGAGACACACCATTCTGAGCCCCACTAAACACTGCTGAGCCCTCAAGTCCTAGCTTCTGATCATGATAATACTGATGCAGTAATTGGTCTCTAGGCAACCCTGGATCCGGCTGGGATCAGAGTGGGGGGTGCAGGTGAGCTTGGCACAGGAGAACATCTTAAATTCTTTGGGAAGACTTAGTTGACAGGTGGTGCAGCCTCCTCTCCCACTTCTTCCTTTCTCTGCTCCGGCAGCCATGGCAGAGGCAGAAGTAGTGGGACTCTGATTACTCATCTTAACAAATTAGTATTGGGGAGTTTGTGACAGTTCTGAGATGCCCAAGGACAGTGTATGAGGATGGGTATGGCACGTGCCAGGTACTGAATCCACAAGAGCACCTTGTCAAAGGCAAGGCCCGCAGTCAGAGATTGTGTTTCTGTCAAGCTAGGAATTGGCTGCAGGCTAATCAGCCCCCGTCCCTGGCAAGACACACAGTCCACCAGCACCAGGTAGTAGAGTGAATCGCTGAATGTGGAGCTGTGCCTGCTCTCCTGTCACCAGATACAAAATGACACACGCCTGGGTTCAGGCAGAACTGGAAGGGGGTGGGGGAACACCTCTGGCCACTTGGTAGGTGGGTGGGAGGAATGGCACTTCCTTGTTGGGGAACAGTGGGAAGAGGCCACCTTTGTTTCATCATCTAGCCTCTGGTGTGGACGCTGCTGCATTCTGGGCTCCTGCGCCAATCGGAAAGCTGCTTGTAGAAGTTCTAACCAGCTGGCCATCAAGTCCATTCCCAGTTCACTGCTCTGTCACCTTACTCAGTGTTTTCATGCCATTTCTTTCTGCAGTCTGTATTTGAACGACTTCGCCATCATTTCCTTTGAAACTCAAGGCCACAGGATTCTTATCTGTGCTGGTTATCTATGTTTTGTAGTATCTTTATTTGTAAACGATCTGGACTGCCACCTGCCTCATGGACCATGTTGCTGGAAGTCCCTTCTCCATAATCATTTTAGTTATCACTTGTGATTTCTTTAAGAATTCTTCTCATATGTGTGCACCAGTACAAAATGCAAATATTTACTCACGTTAGTAGTGCACTGTCAGGATGTTTTTCTGCAGTTTACTATTTTCATTAGAAAATACGTGTATCTCCTCATCTCCACCGCTCTCTTCTCAAAACCCATTGTGGAAAGTTGGTGTACTATGACAAAGCTTTCAAATCAGAGTGTTGCAACACAATTAGAAAGAAATATTTATATCTTAGATTTGTCAGCCTAGCGATGGATGAATTTGTTTTCAGTTTTTGTAGCATTCTGTCGCCTGAATATGCTGTGTTGTATTTTGCTGTTTCTTAACAGTGACTATGTAGGTTGTTCTGAATTTTCTTAGTATTACCAACAAAACTATAATAAATCTAGTTGTCCATTCTTAAAATGTGTATTATTAAACTTTGTTCATTTTACTTTGGCCTCTAAATGTTATAAGCCAATCATCTAACAATTTCATGTTTTCCATAGGGATGCAATCGAAAAATTATTCCCTGAGGCCATCAGAAAGAGATCTGAAGACATCCAGCAGCACAATGACATCATTCAAAGTCTCGCAGCCTTTCAGAAATATGGGAATGATCAGACTCCTGTCGTTCCCCACGCAGTCCGAGTGAATCAGCAGAGAGGAGGGGGCTTCTTCTCCGGAGTGCTCACAGCTTTAACTGGTGTGGCAGTAAGTTCAGCTTGGTGTTTATCTTTCTGTCTCACATACGTGCAGGTTTTCCACTGGAGTCAGTTGAAATGGACCTACATAATTGATGACGTATCTGCGTGCAGCGTGTATTGAAATCTGCTGGGCTCTGTTCTTCAGGGACATCCCTGTTCTTCAGGAATGTGGTCTACTTAAGTAGGCAGCAGGATTGGAGCCATTAAATCTTAGCTTCATCTCATTTAATCCTCTTCATAACTTATATAGAGATCATGTACTGTTACCTCTCTGATATAATATGTTGTCGGTTGAGGTACGTTGAGCCCTGTGTGCTGAATAGAACTACTCCATAGAGTTTTCAAAGTGTAACTTTGTAGATGCAGATCAACAGACCTGCCTCCTGAGGCACCGCCAAAGGCGGGTTCAAACCAACTACCTTTCTTTCTTGTTAATACTTGAGCTCCTAACGTTGATGTCACCCAGGGACTCACCATTATTATACCTGTTTCACAGATGAGAAAACTGAAGGGCAGAAAGATGGTAGAATTGAAGCCAAGTCTGTCTTGGGGATAGTCTTGGGCCCACCAATATCAAGGTTGTTTAAGTCCCATGCCACAGAAATCCCCTGTAGGAAAGAGCATCTGTGTTGTCCAAGTTATTTGACTCAGTGGTTACGGCTGCCACAGGCACCCTGCAGTGAGCCTTGTCCTGCCTCTGTCCCCTCACTGCCCAACAGTCAGCAGAAAGCTGAGCGCCTCGAGGCTTGTGTTCCTGTGATAGTGCTGTGTGTCTGTCCACATCCTGACATGACACACCTCCCAGATCTCTTCCTCATCCTTGCCCTCTCTATACTCACAGAGGTAGGAACTGGCATTTTTGGCCTCTGTCTCTGAAGGCTCCTGTCCCCTCTCCGCAGGTGGTCCTCCTGGTATACCACTGGAGCAGCCGGGAGTCTGAGCATGACCTCCTGGTCCATAAGGCTGTGGCCAAGTGGACAGCAGAAGAAGTCATCCTCTGGCTGGAACAGCTGGGCCCGTGGGCCTCTCTCTACAGGGCCAGATTTTTATCTGAGAGAGTAAACGGAAGGTGAGGAGCAAACTGCTGGTGCGCCGCTGACGTTTTCCTTTCAGACAGCGTTGTTACTCTTTAGTTCCCAAACCATAACAGTCACCCACTTTGAGCATACAGTTCCGTAGTTTTGAATATATTCACACATTGTGCAGCTGTCTCCACAATCTGTTGTTGTTGTTGTTTAATGCCGTCGAGTCGTAGATGACTCATATCGACCCTATGAACGAACAGCCTGAACACTGTTCATACATAGAGTTTCCAGAGGCAAGCCATTTTGGAAGTGGATGCCGCTCCTGCTTCCAGGCTTTTCTGACTAAAGTCTCCAAAATCTAGTATTAAATACTTCCACCATCCCAAAAGAAAACTTGTTCCCATAAGCAGATAGGCCTCCAGGCCCTGGTAACCATAAATCCACTATTTGTCTGCATGGATTTGCTTATTGTGGATATTTTCTGTCAGGGAATCATATAACATATGGCCTTTGGTGCCTGGTTCTTTGGGTCAGCACAGCATCTTCAGGGTTCATGTCCACGTAGCAGGAACTACTGCTGTTTTTCCTTCTGTGGAGTAACTAATAAGCCCTCATGTCGAAATCTGCTTATCCATTTTCAGTGGATTTGATTTGATTCTACTTTTGGCTGTTACGATAATGCCACTATGAGCATTCATATAAAAATATCTGTGGCCGTTGCCCGTGAGTGGCCTGGGCGGAGGGGACAGAAAGCAGGAAGGGGTAAACCCAACTCAGTTCGCCATGGGGCTGTTTGGAAAAGCCCAGGAGAAGCCGCCCAAAGAGCTGGTCAATGAATGGTCATTGAAGATAAGAAAGGAAATGAGAGTAGTTGACAGACAAATAAGAGATATCCAGCGGGAAGAAGAAAAAGTGAAGCGCTCCGTGAAGGATGCTACCAAGAAGGCCAGAAGGACGTCTGCGTGGTGCTGGCCAAGGAGATGATCCGGTCGTGGAAGGCAGTGAGCAAGCTCTGTGCGTCCGAAGCCCACATGAACTCTGTGCTCATGGGCATGCGGAACCAGCTGGCCATTCCCCGAGTGCCTGGCTCCCTGCAGAAGGGCACAGAGGTGATGAAAGCCACGCAGAGTCTTGTGAGGATCCCTGAAATCCAGGCCACCATGCGGGAGCTGTCTAAGGAGATGATGAAGGCTGGAATCATAGAAGAGATGCTAGAAGACACCTTTGAAGGCCTGGACGATCAGGAAGAAATGGAAGAGGAGGCAGAAATGGAAATTGACAAGATTCTGTTTGAAATTACAGCAGGGGCCTTGGGCAAAGCACCCAGTAAAGTGACCGATGCCCTTCCAGACCCTGAGCCTCCAGGAGCCATGGCTGCTGAGGACGAAGAGGAGGAGGAGGAGGCCCTGGAGGCCATGCAGTCTCGGCTGGCCACGCTGCGGAGCTAGGAGGCCCCACCACTGTGGCCAGCCACCCTGTCTATATCTCTTGCACTACATCTATCATGAGGCGCTGCATCTCGGAGCAGGGCTCTGCTGATATCTCTTCATTCTCTGCAAAAGAAGGGCTGGCTTAGGTATTCAGAGGGATTCTGTCTTAAGAGAGGTGATGTAATGAAATGCATCATTCTCGGGTATGTATGGAAGTATTATATTGGGAGGAAGGCAGAGATTTCTAGCTCTCAAAGTCCTGAGAATGGAGTTGATTGCCTGAAGGTTGACGCTGTACATTTTCTGTGTGAGTAAACACTATATAAATGGATTTTAATAAATTTCTGCTTTACCAAAAAAAAATATTTGTATGAAACATACCTTCATAATCTGTAGTAATGGAATGACACCTATCCTTAACTTTTAGAGGAAATGTCACACATTTCCACATGGCTGCACTGTTACACATGATTTTTTTTTTATGTTTTATAGTTTTCCTCATTATAACAGTAACATCATTATTACTTTCAAATAATAATAATATACAACTATATAATACTGGAAGTAAAATATCCTTGAAATCCTACTCTTTAGAGAACACCACTGTTACCAACTTGCTGGTGTTAAAAATAAATAGCTGGGAGCTGTCAGCAGAATGAATATAGAAAAACCCAACCTCACTGTCACTGAGTTGGTTCCAATTCACAGGTACCCTCTGTTGGATTTCTGAGGCAGTGACCCAGAACAGGGGGAGAAAGGTCTCCCCAGGAGCCACTGCTGGATTCTAACTGCTACAGGCGCTTGGCCTCTGGGGTAACAGTGCATCTTGTAATGGACTGTGTTGCCACAGCTCCCTGCAGGCCTAACACACCAGGTAAAAGTTGGATAGCACATCACTCTTGGTAAATCACTGCTTCACTTAGTTCAGATTTTTACCGTGTTTATATGTCATTTCATCAAGAACTTTGTGAACGAAAAAACCCTCATTTGGTTGAGGAGTTTGTTAGAATACATAACTCCTCCAAGAAAGCAGTGTGTGCTGAAACATCATCAGGGCTTCAGTATGACCCTCACTAAGACCAGTGGGCATGGATGTTAAGCCATCTGGAGTCTCAGAATTAGGACATGTTCATTAATCTTGGTTTTCTGAAATAATAAATTTCAAGTGTTTCCAGAAGCCTGGCCATTTAAATACTTTTACACAAAACAAGACAAATTACTTCTGAAAGTTTGTTCCAAGCATCCTAGTAAATGTGTGCGTATATAGCCAGTGCTCAGGATATGAGTGAGGTCTGTTCCTGTCTGTAACAACTAGTAGAGAAGCCGGGCAAGTGGACCAAGTTCTCATTTAACTTTAATGCAAGAAAAGGCTCCGTATTTTCAGTGACTAAAAGGCTGCATGCGCCCCAAGTGCAAGGGACTGTGAAGTAGAATTTGATGCGAGTAGGGATTGGTTGAGATATTTCAAGGCAAGCCTTTGAACCGACTTTTCCTGGTTCATCTGTGGCCAAGGAAGTTAAGAGATGGCAGTGCCCCACTCAGAGAGAGTGGCCGTCCACCCCGTTGGTGTGAGTGTGGCTTTCTGCAGCCCTGGAAGAGATCCACCCTCACTCACTGGGCTCCTCAAAAGGCTCCCGATGCCTCTTCTCAGTCTTCAGAGATAGGGCTGCTTCCTGTCGTTTTTCCCATTCTGGCTGCCATGACACATCACCCAAGGTGGAAAAAAGGTCTGTTCTTGCCGCATTCTGCCATCCAAGACAGAACCAATTTGAACTGGTTCGAAGTTTTGTTTACAAAAAAATATTTTTTATTGATTTTTTTTTAAAGTGAACTGGGGGTTGGATAAGGAAGAAAATGTGCAACAATGAATGAATGGATATCCCAAGTTTTTTATAAACTTTCATTAAAATCACAATATAAATACAAAAAAAGTCCTGTTGAAAAGGGCAAGGTGTTGTCCATAGTTAGACATCCATACCTGCAGCTGGCTGTATATGTGCATTTATTATACACTTAGTACATTACTGTCATATAATAAGACAACCATTACACATACACTTCTAACATTTAATAAGATCGATGTTGTTGTTTGTTACGTGCTGTCATGTCGCCTGTGTACAACCCGTGTACCCTGCGGACAACAGGTCTAAAGCCTGCCCTGTCCTGAGCCAGGCTCACTGAGTCCGACACGCCTAATTCCATTGCCCCAGATATGTCAGTCCATCTCATCTGGGGTCTTCTCTCCTTTGCTGTCCCTCTACCCTTGCAAGCATGATGTCCCTTCTCCAAGGACTGTTCTCTCCTGACCACGTGCCCACAGTATGTGAGACAGAACTTCAAAACCCTAGCCTCCGAGGAACAACGTGGTTTCAGTCTCTTCAAGACAGACCTGTCTGATCCATGGAATGTTCAAGACTCTTCTCCAGCACCACAACTCAAAGGCAGCAGTTCTTCTATCATCATTAGTCATTATCCAGCTAAACCCTTTAATAAATAAATGGAAACATTTCATAAACCTTTAGTGTCGTGAGCTCTGGTGGGCTAGGGTTTGTACTGACAGCCCAGAATCAAGCTGTCAGAATGCACCAGCAGCTTCAAGGGAGAAAGATGGCTGGGCTTCTCCTGTGTAGTTACCAACCTCTGAAAACCTGCTGGAGGGTCAGCTACGAACTGGTTCCAACTCAGCTATAATGCAAGTCAGTCAGTGTTTGGGAAAAAATACCTGTTTTCATAATGCAAAACTTTTTATTTTCTTTCACGCTAGACATCTTTCTAAACCTTTTCTGAGTGTTTATACAAACCTTTCCTGTAAATGTCCATCAGCCAGCCCACCGTCCTGCCCCTTCTTTGCTGTAGATTTTGTCAGAGTGAGTATATAGAGGTGTCACAGAAAGACTACGCAGAAGGTGTCCTAAAAATTGTCCTCAGATGACGTCCTGGCTTCTGATCTCTCCCCACCCAGGTGTCTCCCTCTCAGTGGCCGCTCCCGTGTGTCCATTTCTTTCAGACAAGTAGGCAGTCATTTGCACCCTGTCTGCTCTCCAACCCAACATCTGTGCTGAGCTTTCAACACCTGAATCCTCTGGGGAAGCAAAAAGCTCCCGTTATTCTTAGAAGAATTGTTCCTCCTTCAAAATTTGGCAAATAAAATTCTCGATCTAGTTATTGTAATATATCTTTGCTAACTGTCTTGTTCCATAAGACAGGTTCCCAGAACTGCAATTGTGAGGTCAAAAGCAATCAACAACTTAAGTAAATGTTACCTATCTACCCCCAAAAATGCAGAAAAAAGATGGATAGCCTCCTCTCATTGATTTACTGCGTCTGAAAGCCCACTGGAGAGGGGTCACCTATGAGTCAGTTCTGACTTGACAAAACGTAACAATAACAACCCACAGGAAGACTGTCCGTTGTCTCCACCAGCACTGAGTGGGCCTCTCTGCTCCTGCGAAAGTATTGGGTGGTTCTCAAGATGAATCACTGAGGACCCACATTTGAATTTTCTGATGACAAGGGGAAGATGACAACTATTACTAATGTTTTAATGGATTTCCTTCTAATAAAAAGATTTCTTTTCTTTCCAGTCTTTACACTATACATGCACACATTTTAAAAATCAAAGACTTTAGAGCCAAGTGGGTCAGGGCAGGCCTTAGCCCACTGCTTTTCTTCTCTAAGCCACTTCTCTCATCCATGCATCGGGCATCATGCCATCCACCCTTCAGAATTATTAAATGGAATAGTGATTAATAAAAGCACTTTCCAGTGGTCACTAGCAGAGAGTATGAGTTCAGTTACTTTCTATTTTTAGTACTATTTGACATGAAATGCCTTACTTTGCCTCTGGTCTAAAATACTTGGGTTGATAGAATGGAACTTTCAAAGCAGAATGTCTGCTCTGGTGTGTGGACTCAGAAGGGAACTCTTTCTCTCTCCCTGCAGATTGCTTTTAACTTTGACAGAAGAGGACTTTTCCAAGGCCCCCTACATCATCGAAAATAGCAGCCACCGACGAGCCATCCTGACAGAACTGGAGCGAGTCAAAGCACTAGGTGTGAAGCCGCCCCAAAATCTCTGGGAATATAAGGTGAATGTTTGTGGTATTTTATCCTTTAATTGAAAAAAAAAAAAACAAACAACCAAACCCTCAAAACACAGCAACATAGCAGTTATCTGTGACCCATGCCCACAGCTTACGTAAGAAAGAAGACATTGGCGTCATTCCACAGTCTGCTAGAACGGGTGTGCAGTGGTATCTCTCTGTGGTTTTCGTTTAACTCTACATTTCTTTAAGAACTGATGATACTGGATGTTGTTATTGTTTTCCAAGGTACCTAATTGCCACCCCTTACCGCTGTTTTAGTGGGATGCCCACTCAAATCTTCTCCCATCTGAGTTAATGCTTACAAGTATCAAAGAATTGAAAACAATTTAAATTACTACTGTGGTAAAAAGATACATAACTGAGCTTTTATAAGATATAGAAAAGATTTTAAAATCATTTGAGAGATATATAGCCAAGTCAGTTATCCCATTTCTGCGTGCACAATTATTACCTCTTTCCGTTTCCAGTTATTATCATTACCAGAAGCTACTTGTTGATTGGCACCTTCAGGTCAGCCACCACTCACAGCAACCCTGTGAGCAAAAGATTGAAGCCCTCTCCTGTCCATGTGTCGTCTTCACCATCTCCGCCACGCTCAAGCCTCTTGTTCCAGTGACTGTGTCAGTCCGTCCCGTTGAGAGGCTTACTCTCTTTCACTGACCCTCCACCTTTCCCATCCTCAGGAACTCATCTTCTGGCACCAAACTAAGGAGTGTGCCAGTGTATTTACAGGATTTTTGAAGGGCCTGTTAATTCAGAAGTAGCTGACCAGTCCTGTCTCTGAGCCTGGAAGCTCGGCTGTAATTTGCCAACCACAGGTGACCCTGCTGGTGCTTGAAATCCCAGTGGCCCAGCTTCCAGCGTCACAGCAACACTCTATGCAACAAGCCACAACTTTACAGCAGACTGACAGACAAGTAATGGCCCAGAACTTAGTGTCCCTGAAGCTAGAACTCCTTCTTTTCCCCGATGATAATCTCTAGTCTCTATATTATGCATTTGCCTCTTCCATACAAGTTGGATCATTAAAACTTTCTTCTTTTGTGACTAACTTAATTCACTCTATGTAATATTTTCACGGTTCATCTATGTTGTAATATGTGCCAGGACAACATTTTTCTTTATGGCTGAGATCTGTTCCTCTCTCTGTGTCTCTCTGTCTCTCTCTCTCTATCTCTGTGTGTATGTGTCGCACACACGCACACCACATTGCCTTTTATTCACCTCTTGATGGACATGTAGGTTATTTCCACACTTCTGTGTAAAAATACTCTCATTAACATTAGTGGACTCATTTCTGTTTGAATTCTTACCTTCACTTCTTCTGGATATAGGCCTAGGATCATAAATACTGGGGCATGTGGTAGGTCTGTGAACTTTTTAAAGAACTGATAGTTTTTCACAGTGGTTAAACCATTTTTCATTCACACCAGCAGTGAGGTACAGATTCTCATTTCTTCACATACTTGTCAGTGGGAGGGTTTTGTTGGTGTTGTTTTAAAAAAATAATAATCATCCAAGTGGGAGAAAGGTGGTATTATCATTTTCATAGAGTGTAGCATGTTACACTGTTAACCAAAATGTCAAGTTTTCAAATCCACCAGCCAGTCTATGGGAGAAGGATGGGTGGTCTCTCTCCATAAAGACACTGCCCTAAACTTTCAGCCCCAGAAACCTATTGGAGGGTCATTTGAGTTGTAATTAACTTTATGCTAATGGAGGGGAACAAATTATCCAAGAAGCTGGACTCTGTGAGGAGGAGTGTGGCATGAGGATTAGAGGGAATAACCTCCATTATCTTGCTAGCTGAAAGTGAGGAGGGCTTGAAGCACTTGTTGCAGAGGATCGGAGAATGCAGCCTTCGGGATGGATTGATTGCATCTCAATGTCAGGAAAACGATTCTTACCACTGGACCGATGGGCAGCGTCATGATGGATGGATAGGAGATTGAAACTGTCAGCAGCTTCATCCTGCTTGGATCCACAATTAACACTCTTGGTCTAGCAGTCAGGAAATAAGGAGATGCATTGCACTGGAAAAATCTGCAGTTAGGGACCTCTCCAAATTACTGAGGAGAAGTGATGTCAGTTTGAGGACTGAAGTACGTCTGATTCAGGCCATGGTCTTTCCGATTACTAGATATGCATCTGAGACCTGAACCATAAATAAGGATGACAGAAAAAGAATTGATGTCTTTGAGCTGTGATGTTGGAGAAGAGCACTGAACTTCCCATGTCGGCCAAGAGAATGAAGAGATATATCTTGGGGAGGGTGCAGCCAGAGTGCTGTTTTGGAGGCAAGAATGATGAGGCTTTGCCTCCCATACTTTGGGCCTGTTTCTGTGATAGTCTTGAAGAAAGTGATGCTGGGAAAGGTGTAGTGTTAGCAAAGGAGAGGAAGACCCTCAGCCAGGTGGATTGACACAGTGACTGCAGCAATAGGCTCTTGTGTGTCAGGAAGTGAGAGGATGGCACAGGATAGGACAGGGTTCAGATCTTTTGTTCATAGGGTCACTGTGAGTCAAGCTGGACTAAGCAACACCTAGCAACAGCAACAACAACAATGGAGGAGAGATTGTTTTGTTTTGTTATTAATGAGTAATGAACCAGCCCTTGTGGTGTAGTGTGTTACATGTCAGGCTGTGAATTGGCAAGGTTCCCCTCCCGCAGAGCAGCTGGTGGATTTAAACTGCGAGCCTTCGAGCTTGCAGTGCACCTTCTAGCCCCTAGACCACCAGTGCTCCGAGCACATAGTTGTTTACATATTCTGAACATATGTTATCAGATAGATTGTTCCCCTAGATTTTTTTCCCAATCTATAGATTGTCTCCTCACATTATTGATAAGGCTTCCTTTATAATTAGGAAAAATACAAATATAGACTCCTTGTAGCAAAAGTTGGAAAATTTATGAAGGAGAAGGAAAATAAATTGCCCATAGTCCCACCTACTAGTCAAACACAGTAACCTGTAACATTACATTTTGTTCTATTTCCTCCTAGCTTATTTTCCTGTGTATATTTTAAACAGAGCTTTGTTTATTTGTTCAACAAATATTTATTGGCTGTCTGAAGTGTGCCAGGTGCTCCCCCCTGGGGGGCAGTCAGAGGTCACAGCACTAAAGGGAAGACCCCACTTTCATGGAGTGGACACTCTGCCAGAGTCCCTGCCACTCGTCTTTGAATCTTTTTTTGGCCTAACCTTTAAAAAAATACACAAGCATTATTACAAGCTTCTCATACTATTTTCAACGACTGGATTCTGTGTTAAAGATCTACCATCATTATCCTCTAATTTACTTAGTTTACTTAGGCCAGTTTTTCCTCTATTTAGCTGATGTAACAGTAACCATCCGACACATAAGGCCCTCTATATGTCAGATTCTTTTTGTTAAGTGGTGCCCACTCATTGAATGGCTAAATTACATTTGATACATTTTTGCAGAACTGCTTTGCAAAAACTTTGTTTTCTGAAGGCCAAAAAGCAGGTATCCCCAGCAATGTAAGAGATTAGATCTTTATATAATATAACCCAATGAATCAATGACTTGGCCTCTTCATGTCATTCTTTATACGAAACATGAGACGCAACATGAGAAAAGGCTGACATCTCGGGGGTGTGGGTGGGGAGCTGGCTGCCATCGTGGTAATGTGGCCCTGTACCCCACTTATCTTCTACAGGCCGTGAACCCAGGCAGGTCCCTCTTCCTGCTGTATGCCCTCAAGAGCTCCCCCAGACTCGGTCTACTGTACTTGTACCTGTTTGACTACACAGACACCTTCCTACCCTTCATCCACACCATCTGCCCCCTTCAAGAAGAGGCCTCTGGAGATGACATCATCACCAAGCTGCTGGTAGGTCTGCGGAATGCCGGAAACAGAAGTATTCCTCTCTTCCTCAGTGTAGTGGTAAATTGAAGCTGTCTGGAACCTCTCCAGGAAGAGCAAACAACAGCCACCCTGAGTTTGAATTTTTCAGGGCGAGCCCCAGCAAAAGAAAAGGAAGACCTTTCACATTCCCCTAAGACAACTTTGTTTACTCTGTTGCTTAGCAACAAGAGAGGCTACTCTCTGAACTTGACATATTGAAAGAATGAAAGAACAGCATTGCTTTTGTTTTGAAAAGAAGGTGACATCGAACTGGATTGCCCTGGAGGGTGCCATTTATAGACACCCCCCTCCCCAGTTTGGTGATCTCTCTCTAAAGAGAGTCCTGAAAGGGAGATTTTCATCCTACAACAAGGCAGGTCAGTGTCCATCCTATGAACGATGGCTCATGTTCCAGTTCATTGACGTGCCTTTACGTCATTTGATAACCAGAGCCCTTCCCAGGGGCAGGCACCCACCTTGCCCTTTTCAGATTGCTCCATGGATCCCTTCCAGTTTGTGCAGTATCTCATTCCTTCACAGCGATTTCTCTGGGTCGGCTTGGTCATTTGGAGGGTAGTCCCATTGCACTCCCACTCTTGGGGCCAGTCTTTCAAATCTGTTTGTATCAGAAAGTCCCGTGGAGGTAGGAATCTTCATTTGTTAGCCATACCTGTAAGTATATGAAAAAATGATCTTCAAATTCATGCATGCAGCCCAATGCAATGCCCTTTTTAAAAAAAGTTTAATATAACTATATACTTAATCCTTACAGTCACTCAGAACACAAAATCACACCTTATCCTAGGTTGCAGTGTTAGAAGAAAAAGTATGCAACAGTTACAGACTGCATTACCAGAGCTCCCTCAAAAAAAAAAAGTTTGTAACAATTAAAGCACTGTTAGGACTCAGAAATAGTTTTCCTAATTTTAAAAGCATTTTAAATTTTTCTTAAAAACTTAATAATTAGGGAACTCTGGTGGCCTAGTGACAAGAAGCTGCACTGCAATCCCAGAGGAGCACGGTTCAAATCCACCAAATGCTCTGCTGGAGAAGGAGGGATAATCTCATCTTGTGCCAGTCAGATCCGATTTGATGGAACACTCACTCACGATACACCCCCAGGAAAAAAAGCCCTTAATTGCTATATGCAGATAAGTAAAACAGATTTATAATCCAAACAAAAAAGTATGTGCATGCAAACATGCACAGGGAATGTTATTTTGGAGAAAGGGTAATTTGGCAAAAACAGTTCCAAAAATAGTCCATTGATGCACATATGTGCTAAGTCTTCTACATAAAAATTTAGCTGTTTTCCATGAAATTCCATGCTTCAAGTTTCACCTGAAGCCTGTACATCTACTCCTTACTTGTTAACAGTCTTGTTATCTGACCTTTCACCTTTACAACAATAGTAAAAAAATCTCTCCAGCTATGTTTTGCATTAATGACATACGTCTGATAGTGATAAACACCTCGATTTGAGGCAAGAGGAGCACTGGCTGTGAAGGTTAAAGTCAAGGTTATGTGATGGTTAAGGTGAAGGTTGTGCTTCTCTGTGGTTCGATAGTTGGAATAGTGATGTCATTTGGCAGTTATAGGAGGATATAGTTATTCTCAGTTTTGTGATCTGTTGTGGTTAGTCTCCATTCTAACACAATGCCAATATTCATATGTAATGACCTGGTCCTTGGAACCTAACCATGTTGATAAGTGAGGAGGGAGTGTATCTGAAAGATAAATACATCTACCTTGTGATTTCCTCTGAAATCATGGCTAAGGCAGCTTGAGACCCTTTTTAAACACTATAATCAAGAGGCCGCCTGACCAAATTCAGTTTAAAAGTACCCCTCTAATTACCAGCTTCCAGTTACCTGGCCTTGCCAGGTTGAGAACACAGAGACCCCAACTTTCCCATTTCAACAAGCCCCACAGCCCTGCTCATTCCCCCGGCTCACAGTTTGCCTTGAGCACCCAGCTTGGCTCCAGTGCACTGTCTTCCTGAGCAAACCGGAGCAGGTGGATCATTGGGCTTCTGATTGTATCTAAGTCGTTTTAATATACCTTTTAATTTCTAAATTACTTACCATATGGTGTTGTGGTTAGGTGCCTTTGAGTCAGCTTTGATGCATAGTGAGCCTGTGTTAGAGCAGAAGGAATCATGACCCGAGCCTGCACCAGCTTCACAATCATTGCCATGCCCATCGCTGCAGGCTGTGTGTCAGTTCACCTCATCAAGGGTCCTCCTCCGTTTGTACTGACCCTCCGCTTTACCAAGCATGACGTCTTTGAGGGACTGGCCTTCCTGCAGATGTGCTGTAAGTACAAGAGAAGGAGTCTTGCCATCCTGGCTTCTAAGGAAAGCGTTGGCTAAACTTCAGAGACAGATCCGTTTGTTCTTTTGACAGTGTTCTTCCCCACCACCCAGTTCAAAGGCATCACACCACCTTTGGGCTTTCTTACTCATTGATTGAAAATAACCTGGCTTGGGTCAAATGCACTTTAGCCCTCAAAGTAACATGTTTGCGGGGAATGAGGGAAATTGGAAGAATCTGTACTTGAAAACAATGTATTCAAATTTTGGAAATAAACTAGTATTTTTTTTTAAGTAACATTTTTGCCCTTCAGCACTTTAAAGAGGTCCTTTCCGACAGATGTCCCCAATTATTTGATTCCTTGTCTTCTGCTTCCACAAGCAGTAAAAGGAAATCTTTGACAACGTCAGTATATTTTCCTGGTTTTTATTAATGTTGTTTATTAAGCTAGTTCTAGGAATTTTTGTTTTATTTTGAGGTATTGGTATTACTAATCAGCAGGGGCTTCAGAAGCACTCTTCACTTTCAAAAAGCCGGGTTGTACCTTCTGCATATTGCTGCTTGTTAATGAGTCTTCCTCCAATCTTACTCCTGAATGTTCCTTATATAATCCAAGCTTCTTGGATTATTTGCCCAGCATATAGATTGAAAAGTTTGGTAAAAGGAAACAACTCTGAATCCCACCTTTCTGGCTTTAAATCATGCAGTCTTCCTAGTTCCATTCTAACCACTGCTTCCTGGTCTTTGAATGGGTTCTTCATGAGCTCAACCAAGTGGCCTAGAATTCCCTTTCTTGCCAATATTGTCCATAATCCGGTATGATCCACACACTTGGATGCCTTGGCCTAATCACGAAAACACAAATAACCATCTTTCTGCTTCTCTCTGCTTTCGTCCAAGATCCCATCTGATGTCAGCAACAATATATCCCTCATTACACATCCTCTGCTGAATCCAGCTTGAATTTCTAGTAGTTTTTAGGACCATCAATGTATTGTTTCATCAGTTTTGGAAACCCAGTTGGTTTGTTTTTTTGTTATTGTGTACCATCAAGTTGGAACAGACCTATAGCTGACCCTCTGGCAGCTTTTCAGAGGCAGTAAATCACACAGGAGGAGATTGTCCATCCTTCTACCACAGAGCAGCTGGTGGACTCAAACCACGTGCCTTCAGGATTGCAGTGCAGCTTCTTGCCACTAGGCCCCAGTGCTCTGCTCCATTGAGTTTGAATTGCTGAATTATCTTCAGTATGATTTTGATCACATGTGATAGTAAATGATAATTTCTGCTTTCTTTTGAGTCATATTTTTTGGAATGGGTACAAATGTGGATCCCTTCTAGTTAGTTGGTCTTCCAAATTTCTTAGCATAGATGAATGAGCAAGTCTAGCGTTTCATCTGTCTATTGAAACATCTCAGTTGGGATTCTGCCAATTCCTGGAGGGTTGTTTTCTGAAATATTCTTTTTTGGCTATGAGTGTGATGGCATTCCTCTTCAGTTTGTCGTTCCTGACAGAGTAGACCATATATTTGTCTGGTTGAAAATGAAAGGCCAATATAATTTATGTTGTTTATTCCATTTCCTTTTTGGAGACAATTGGACAGCCTCCAGTTTTCACAGATTCATCCTTCATACAAGCCCTGTTCTGATTCTTAATGGATGTTTGCAGTGCTTACCCTTGTTAGTCACTGAAGGACCTTCATTGCCTGATAGCTTTACTCCAGCTACACCAGGAAGTGTGGACTCGACTCTGAGGAGGCAGCTCTCTCCCGGCCGTGTTGTGGACTCGACTCTGAGGAGGCAGCTCTCTCCCGGTCGTGTTTCAGTTGTCTTCTGGCCTGAGCGGCTCATCGTCTGGCACTCTATGAGATAATGATCCACTGAGACTCATCAACCAGTATTCACTAGACGGTTACTTCAGAAGCGGGTGCTCTGTCCTACTTCCTGCTTTGTCAGCTCTGCTGAAACCTATCTCCCATGAGTGATCCTGTTGGTATTTGAAATACCGGTGGTATATCTTCCAGCATCAGAGTACCATGTAAGCCACCCAAGTAGAACCAACTGCCATATGAATAGTGGGTTTATAAAGTAGTCTCTCGTGGATAAAGAGGACCTTATATAGTAGCTCCCCCTTATCCGTGAAGGATATACTCCCCAACACACACCCCCATCATGGATGCCTGGAACCTCAGATAGTACCAAGCCCTATATATATAAATGTCTTACTTACATACCTTTGAACAAGTTCAACTTATAAATTAAGTTTCTTTAAGACATTAACAATAGCTTGTAATAAAATGAAACAGTTACAACAGCATATCACAGTAAAAAGCTGTGGGCGCTCGAGTGGCCTACTGGGTAAGGAGTTGCGCTGCCATCCCAAAGACAGTTTGTTCAAATCCACCAGCTGCTTTATGGGGAAAGATGACTGTCTCTTCCCAGGTGATTTACAGCCTCTGAAAATCCACTGAAAGATCAGCTACCAGTTGGTTCTGACTCTATGGCACGTAACAAAACCAGTTCTGTGGGGTGAAGTGGGTGCACGGCATAGACATTCTGATGGAGCATTATTAGCCTACTAACTTGAAACTGCAAAGTGAACCTCTGGAGAAGGGGAAACTGTCAGCAGTAAGCATAAATAAAAATGACTGATGATTCTCTTCAGGTCATTACTATGTTGGAAAGAAACAGAGTTGAATTCTTGTATTTTCATTTTCCCAGAACTGTCACTGCGCTACCACAGCTAAAACACTGACTGTAAGAGTAATGGAAAGTAGTGACATCACTCTGCTGCTGTGAGTGGAGCCCTGGTTGTGTGCTGACTGAGCACATGACTGATGGCTGGGAAGTCAGCACATTGACCCCACCAGCTGCTCTTCGTGAGAAAGATGTGACTATTTGCCTTCGTATTATTGCAGCCATGGACACCCTAAGGGGCAATTCTACTTGGCAAACAACGATGTACTATGGTTTCTTTATCCATTCATCCATTGGTGGACACTTGGATAGTTGCCACCTTCTGCTGTTGTAAATAAGGCTGAACATGAGGGTGTGTGTGTATACCTGTTTATGTTGAAGTCCTTATTCCTTTAGGATTGCTGGGACAATTGCTATTCCCACCTTTACAAGGAAGGAAGCACCCGGCTGCTTTCCGTCATGGTTACGCCATGTTACCTTCCCTCCAGCAGAGGAGCTCACCAGCATTTTTTTGCTGTATTCCTGAACTTTGCTGTTGTCACTAGGGTGAGCTCTCTCTGGGTTGTCGATTTGCATCTTTCTAATGGCTAATGGCCTTGACCATTTCCTCACATGTTTGCTGACCATCTCAAATGGACTTTGGTGAAGGTGCCTTTCATGGCCTCTGCCCACTCGAATGGTTTGTCTTTACACGTGGAGGTGTTGGGAGTTTTCTGTTGGTTTTAAAGCTGACTCCTTTATCAGATATGTCAGTGCCGAGTATATTTTCCTCAGTCTATATCTTCTGTTTTTCCTCTTGGAGAAGCCCTTTGATGCACCCTAAGATTTCATTTTTACAAAGTCCCAGTTGTCTCCTTTTATCTTCTGCTGTCTGTGCATTTTCGGTTACATTTGAGTTTCTTATGCCACAGAGTAGAGCTTCTAAATTTGCCCTATCTTTTTATGCACTTTAGAGTTTTAGGTTTTAGTCCTAGATCCTTGATCTCTCTTGAATTCATTTTTGTATATGCTGTGAAGTATGGATAATACTACAGTTTTCTGCAGGTAGATAATCCAGTTTTGCACCATTTGTTAGAAAGGCTATCTTTTTCCCAACTGAATGGATTTCATCTCTTTGTCAAAGATAAGCTGGACTTATTTCTGCATTCTATAATGAAGGTAATTTTTTTAAAGATTTTTTTTTATTATTTAAATAGCATTCAGTTTATTACAGATATTTAGTATTGGCTTCCCACATTTCCCCACTTCTGTTTTTATCATAATTATCATCTAGATGAGCATTGAAGGTAATTTTTAAACTCAAAAAAACCTGGTTAATTTATCTCATCCTTACAGTTTATAGTTGCTTTGATTTTTGCTTGAGAGCTTTTGTGGTTATGTAACAAGCATCTTGGTTTGAACTTATAAAATGGCATTTCTCTTTGCCATTTCAGATGGAGTCTCTCAAGGGGAGCTGATGAATGGGAATTTTATTCAGGATTGCTGGGTCACATGAGTGTGTGCTTAAGTGATCGGGTGTGACCCGCGCGGAATGACCACAACATCCTGTGTCCAAGTCACCCCTCATGAGGTTTTCTGTCTGTGTGTGTGTTGCATCTGAAGGATCTCCGAGAGCCCACGTGGAAGCAGTGGAGGGAATTCCTGGTGAAATATTCCTTCCTGCCCTACCAGCTGGTTGCGGAATTTGCATGGGACTGGCTGGAGGTCCACTACTGGACGTCGCGCTTCCTCATCGTCAACGCCATGCTCCTCTCGGTCTTGGAGCTGTTCTCATTCTGGAGGATCTGGTCACGGAGTGAACTGAGGTGAGTGTGCCCTCGGCCGGGAGGGTCGCGGAACAGCGGGAGCCCAGGGAAAAGTTCCTAGTGTTCCTCAAACGTGAAAAAGAGCCTTCGGTTACCAAGACTGTCCTAGGCTTTCATTTGAAGTGGTACTTAAATGGGGCCAGAGAAACGCCCTCTGGTATGAGTTATTTGTTCATTTTTTTGTGATGCTCATTGTTAAAGGGTTTCCGTATATATTTTTGTGCCAGCCTAATTGTTTTACCACATGGTTTCCAGCGTATGGTCATAAAGAGCTTTAATAACCAAGCAAGTGAGAAAAAAGCCTGGTAGGATTCTGATCAGGAATTGCACAGATGTGTGTTCTAATCCTGCTCAGCTCACAAATGGGACCATAGTTACCTCTCAGGGTTGATGAACAGTGAGAACGAAGAAGTCTCTGAATCGAGACCCTGGCTGCAGGTGACAGGCCCATCCTCAGTGGCTGCCAGAACAGAGACTGCCCAGCCAGGCCTCAGGCCTGAGGCGCATTCTCCCTGTCACAGCTCTCTCCCCGGTTCCGTATGGCTCGGCCTCGGGCCGCTCTACCCATGTTACTGTGGTCTGCCCAGTGCTTCTAACCAAGCAGCCTAGCACAGCTGAGGGTAAGAGAACACATCATCCCTCATCACACTAATTTAAAAAAGGGGAGCTCTGTGGCCTAGTGGGTAGGCAGTTGCATGCTGAACCAAAGGTGTCACCTCCTTGGTGGTTCAAATCCACCAGCAGCTCTGGAAGAGAAAGACGGGCAGTCTCCTCCTTTGTGATTTACTGCCTCTAAAAGCCCAGTGGAGGGGCAGTGCCCACTCCTTTGCTGTGATTGGCCCAGCCTGGGTCACATATGTGCAGGGCGCTCGGGCAGGCTCTAGTCATGTTCAGCCTCCCACCCAGGCCTAGCTGCAGCCACACTCAAACCACCTGGGAAAGAACAGAGGCGAGAAGCTTTCTCTGGAAGAAGAGGGCTGTCCACAGGGCAGGCAGAAGTGTTAACACCTCCCCTGTGCTGGACCCCTTTCAGCTGAAAGCATCCCTTGACTCACACGACCCTGGGTCTGCTCCATCAGAGGCTGCCTCAGACATAGTTCTGAGAAACTGATCAGAATCTCCCTTGTTTTTCACAGTCCACAGATGCACTTATTTGTGTGGTTTGTTGATCCCTTACTGGTTGGCTTTCCACCGGGCACTGGAGATTTGTGATAAAGGCAGCAATCTATCCCCTGAGGGTTAACCTCCTAGCAGAGGAAATATTGATGTAAATAAATGCCCTTAAGTGTGACACAGCTGTGAAGTGGGTTCAGGTGAGGTTGTGGCTGCGTGGACGGTGGGAGATGGAGTGAAGAAGGCTGAGTCAGGCTGAGCTGTCAGGGAGACAAAGGCCGGCCGGGCATTAGAGGGAGGCTCGGGGTCCCAGGTAGAAACACCCCCGCAGTTCTGCCGCTGAAATGCTTCTCTTCTCCTCTCTGCAGGACGGTGCCCCAGAGGATGTGGAGCCATTTTTGGAAAGTATCGACACAGGGGCTGTTTGTGGCCATGTTCTGGCCCCTCATTCCCCAGTTTGTTTGCAACTGTCTATTTTACTGGGCCCTGTACTTCAACCCAATCATTAACATCGATCTCGTGGTCAAAGAAGTCCGACGGCTGGAGACCCAAGTGTTGTGACTGGGGGCGCCCAGCCTGCCCGTGACTCCTGCAGCCTCCCTGACGCCTGCACTTTGATGCTAACAAGGGGTAAGGGAGGAAGTGGAGTTCCTGTTTTCTACCCCAAGTAAAACAAGGTGCTGCCTTGTGTGTGAAGGGCTCCAGCCACCTCCCCTCCCCGCCACTGTGGCCTGGCAGAGGCAGGCCCTGCTACCCCAGAGCACGCTGGACAGTTTGGCCACTGTGGTGGCGGCCCCTTCTCGACAGCTGGCAGGGGTTCTCAGAGTCCTCAGAGGACACTGTGGGGTTGGCATCGGAAGGCCCTCAGCACCAGGACACCAGACTCTCAGGGCGAGGGGCCCAGAAACAAGCCCAGCCCAGGCTCATCCCATAGGCCAAGAGTAGGGAAATGAAGAGAAGATATTGTCATAGGTATAGACAGCTCCTTGCACATAAGCAATAGAGAGGAAAACCCAAAATATAATCCACAATTCTGTCCTAGTGGAGATTTGAAGAGATTCAGCATGAATCCCCTGGAAGGCTAGAGGGGGCACTGGACTAAAGACCATGCTGAACGCCACTGTCCTCCGCTCGTGGGCACTGGTGTTCGCTTTTCTCTGAGGCGGGGACTGAAGGGGATGCAGGCAGCTAATGAAGGAAAATTGACACCAAAGGAGCCCTGGTGATGCCATGGTTAAACTTTCAGCTGCTAACGGAAGCCCAGTGGATTGAATCCATCACCCACTTTGGGACCAAGACGGAGAAATCTGTTCCCAGGAAGATCAGCAACCTGGAAACCCGATGGGGCAGCTCTGCTCCGTCTCTGTCTCATGACAGGGTCGCCATAAGTGAGAATCAACTTGACAGCCAGTGGGTTAAATTCACACCAAGCTCAGCTGCCTCACTGCTACCTTAACTCGGTTTTGGGTTGTTTTTAAGGTTCACACTGTAAAATAAATTCCAAGACCGTCCTTTTGTTCCAGGAAACATTTTGTAAACCCATGACCTCACACTGTCTTCATTGTCCCGTCCGGATGGGGATTGACCAAGTGCTGTCATTGTAAATACGGAGCGGCATGGACTTTTCTTTCCTTCGCTGGGAAAGCCGCCGACGTGAATGTGCTCTCCACAGACCGGCAGAGAGAATCTCACAGCCAAAGGGATTGTGTGACTCCACTAATCCTTTGTATCTCGGAGTGAAGGCCTCACTCACACTTTGCATCTGAACCTTTGAAGAAATTACTTGACATAAAAATAAAGATTTTGTTTTTATATATATATATATATACAGGTCTCTAAATATAGGAAAAAATCGGATTGTTTAGAAAGCCTGGGAAGAATGTGTTTTGTACAATCACACTAGTTAGACTCATGTCCCCCAGCCCTGTGTGACCACTGACCCAAGAGGCCACTGTCAGGTGTTTAAGGGAGAAAGAATGCTTTTCCTCTACCTTGTGTTTGCTCATCAGGCCCCAGGGCTGCCTGGCATCCCGTGTTCAGCACACACATCTTGCTAATCTCAGGCTTGTATAACAGAAATACCACAAATGGGTGGCTTTAACAAACAGAAAATCTCCAGAGAATGACTCAAGGTACACTCTCCATTAATCCTGCCTCATCAGCATAAAATCTGAGCCAATTCCCAAATGAGATGATAGCTAGGGGCATTGAGGTTAAGACTTACAACACACCCTTTTTGGGGGACACACTGCAACCCCTAAAAACATACATAACCAATCAGAGACACCGAGGGCACGGCAGGGTTTGCACATCCCGTCTCACGCCTCAGGAAGTGACTTCTTTTTAGTTCCAGATGGAGAGACGGGAGCCGGATGGCCAAAGTTACTCTGGTCTGGAGGAGCAGGGCCCAGTGGCTCCCCAACCACGGATCACCTTCCCCCACACTTTCGAAGATAAGGAAACCCGGATCTGCTCTGGAGAGGCGGGAGGGGAAAGCCAGCCTAGAACAAACACAGCTGGGCTCCTTATCACCAGCAGGAGGGACGGCACCCACGATGAGGCACCCATGATGAGGGCTACAGGTGTCCGTGCCTCAAGAGGGGTGTCTTGAAAATATTCACCCTCTCAGCCAACCCTGGGCTAAAGAATGAAAAAGAGGGGCAAAGAGTCAAAAGACTCCTTATGACAACAATTGCTAACTAGGAAATAGGCCTGAGATCTGATAGTTAACAATTTATCGAATGAGACCAAGCATAGCTCTTTAAAATGGAGTTTTCCGGGACCCTAGTGGGGCTGTGAGTTTGAGGTGGAGGTGAAAAAAATCTGACTATTTTAAATATTTTTTTCCCTTTTGTCTAATTGGATCCGACTAGAGATTACTTCTTTTCCAGTAGGATGTCTGGTGTAGTCAAACCATGCACCTTTGGGATTGCAGCACAGCTTCTTGCTGCTAGGTCACCAGAGCTGCCTCTGACTAAAATCTTAATGGAGGACTGCACCATTTCAATCCTGAATCTGGTTTAATGTTCTAATTGATCTTTTTAGTGTATTAAAAAATTTTTTTTTAAAATGGAGTTTTTCAAGGATTTTTGAGGATCTGGGGGAAAAAGGCTTATAAAAATCACATTATGTTCTTAGCTATATTTTTTTAATATGTTTTTTTAATTTATTATTTTTGTGTGTGTGTACTGTCAAATCAGATCTGACTGGTACAGGAGGAGATTGTCCCTCCTTCCCCAGCAGAGCATCTGGTGGATTCGAACCGTGCACCTCTGGGATTGTAGTTGCAGCTTCTTGCCACTAGGCCACCGGAGCTCCCCTTCTTAGCTACATTTATGATTTTTTTTTTTAAGTATGAAGGACAGCCCACTAAAATAAGAGTGGTGGTTTCTGGGGTGTGGTTAGGGGAGTGATTTGTTACCTTTATATAGCTGTATTTCAATGCAAAAAACCAAAGAAGTACTACTTTTTTTGTTTTTGCACTACTTTTATAGTTAGGAAATACATTTTAGCAGTTAAAGGTTGCAGAAGGTAGAAAATAATACTCTTTTAGCTTTTTAAAAGCCTCTGAAAACCTGTTGGAGGGTCACTTGTTGGCCAGTTCTAACTTATTGATACAGCAACATGCTAACAGTCCAGGGAGATATGGGAATGTGATTAAATGAGAAGTCAGCAGTCCAAGTCCACCGGCCCTTCCATAGGAAACTTGAGGCCGTGTGCTTTTGTCAAAATGGACATTCAGCTTTGGAAACCCTACGGGACAGTTTTACTCTGTCCTCTTGGATGGCTGGGCATTGGCAGTAATGGCAGCCGAGAAGCTAATAGTTCTAATAACTAGAACCTCTCAAAGGGCTGAAGGCCTGTCCCATCCTAGGTTGCGTCAAAGGCCTAGACTGAGGTCAGGCCTGTAAGAAGCCATTCATCCTTGACTGTCCATGCCTGTAACCTGGAGCCAGTGAGGAGACAAAGCTCGCCCTTTCATAAGGGCTAAAACTCCAAAACATTCCCAGGCCCAGCACTGTCCTAAACACAGTTGTGGTTTTCTAACAGACACGGGACTTCTGACCTCCGTCAAGCTGGAAACCAAACAAGGCTCCAAGCCCTGCCATCCAGCAGGGAGGGAGGGAGAGAGAGCAAACATGGGCCTCCTCCCCGCTCTATCACTTGGCCTCAGCCTTTCCACACAGAGAACGGAACACTGTCGTCTATTAGTGAAAAGAACATTTATTTTTCCTTGTGCAGAGAAGCCATTTTCAGTCAGGCGGGTCAGTCACACTTGGGCGAGTCCCTCTCACATAAGAAGGAGGGGTAGAAGAGGTGCTTTAGGTTGTACTCGGCTTGGGCTAAGCAGTGAGCAGCCTCCTGGTCACACTTGCATATGAGTTCCTGGCATTTGTCCTCCGTGGGTCCTGGAACAAGTGGGGAAACGGAGGTTAGCGCAGGGAGCTGAGGAGAAGCCAACAGGAAGCCAGGGACATCAGAGGCAGGAAGGGTCATAAATTGCATTCGTGTGGCCCTTCATAGCTTACCAGTTGACCTCAGTCCTCAGTGCTTTTCCAGAGAAAGAGGTATTGCTGGCCCTATGGAAAAGGGAACTGAGGATATATTTTCAAATGCAGACCTTTCAGTGTCTTTTTTTTAAAAAAAATTATTTTTGTGTATGTACCATCGAATCAGATCTGACTGGTACAGGAGAAAATTGTCCCTCCTCCAGTAGAGCATCTGGTGGATTCGAACCGTGCCCCTCTGGGATTGCAGTGCAGCCACCAGAGCTCCCTTCAGTGCCTTTTCCAAATCAGTATTACTAGTTCACTTGCAAATCCACATAGACAGGTTCTGTGCAGGACCAGCCAGGCCTGGGTTTGGAAGGGCCTTCTCTGCCCCTTCATTATCGTGTGACCTTGTCTAACCTTCTGAGACTGTGTCCTCACTCAGACTGGGTGTTGCCACTTTGTGGGGCTGTGGAGATGCCCCAGTGAGAAAGAAAATGTCATGTTAAAAAGTTAAGGTGCGCCCGACTCCAAGCCAAGCTCTTTTCCTTCACTTCGTATGCATGGGAAAGTTGGACAATGAATAAAGAAGACAGAAGAAGTATTGATGCCTTTGAGTTGTGGTCTTGGCAAAGAGTATTGGATAGCCCATGGACGCCCAAAAGAACAAACAAATTTGTCTTGGAGGAAATGCAACCAGAATGTTCTCTGGAGGCAAGGCTGGGGAAGCTTCATCTCACATCCTTTGGACATGGTTTCAAGAGAGGCCAGTCCTTAGACAAGAACATTGTGCATGGAAAATTGAGGGTCATTGAGGGAGAGAAAGACCCTCAATGAACTGAACTGACACAGTTGTTCCAACAGTGGGCTTGCGCATGGAGACTGTGAAGATGGCTGTAGGTCAGGACAAGCTTTCGATCTGTTGTTCACTTTTGACAACACAGTTGGGTCACAGTTGACAACACTTAACAATGACAACTGTACACTGAAGAGTGGCTGCAATAGCGTATGTGTGTGTGAGAGAGATAATAAAATTTTTTTTTACAGGGTTATAGTTTTGTTTTTAGTTTTTTATGGTTTGTTGTTTTTGGTATGTGAGTTGTTGGAGATTTTTTTGTTTGTTTTTTTCTTTTTGTATACTGTCGAATAAGATCCAATTGGCACGAGAGGAGATTGCCCCTCCTTCTCCAAGCGGAACATCCGGTGGATTCGAACCACGCACCTTTGGAAATAATAGATTTTGACATGCATATTTTCCTCGGAAAGCCAAAGAGATGAAGAGTAAGAATCAGAAATTCCACCAGTTTCTCTTCTAGGGGAGCCATGGACAACCCCTAGGGAGTCTGACAGCAGCAAGGAAGGGCTAGAGGGATCAGCTAGAGGTGTCAAACAGGAAAGTGGGGGTTCACCTCACAGGTCCTGTCCTGAGCAGAACTGCTTAAAGAAGTTTGCACAAGTGGTGAGTTCTGGTGGTCTAGTGGCAAGAAGCTGCACTGTAATCCCAGAGGTACATGGTTCAAATCCACTAGATGCTCTGCTGGAGAAGGAGGAGCAACCTCCTTTTGTACCTGTCAGATCCTATTTGACAGTACCCACACATACAAAATAATAAAAATAAGAAACTCATGCAATATTATTCAAAATGGGTGACCCTGGAGGACATTATGCTGAATGAAGTATCTCAGTCACAAAAGGACAAATGCTGCATGGTGCCACTGTTGTAAAGCAGGACTGACCTCGAGGTTGGGGGGGAGACTGAGAAAGATGGGTTCAATAATGTATACTGCACTGAAACAGATGAGGGGGAAACTGTTTAAGAGGGAAAATTATTAGGGATTTTTGTCATGACCAGAGCGAAGGCTGTATAGTGGATTGGACCTCGGGGGAGGGATTGTAAAACAATGAAATAATTTTTCTTTTACTTTTCCAAGAGGGTAGTGTACTAGCGGGGAGGGTTGGGAGGGGAGAAAAGTACAACAATGAATGAATGGAAATCCAAAGTCTCTGTAAATTTTCATTGAAATTAATGAGAAAAGAATAAAGACATTGACAAAAAAATAATTTAAGTAGAATTGTTGATATGTTTACTCTTAATGTTTGGTAGAATTTAGCCCTGAAGCCATCTGGCCCAGACTTTTTTGTGAAGGGAATCTTTATGACTGACTCATTTTTTTTTCTTCTGTGATGGGTCTGCTCAAGTGTTCTACATCGTCCATGTCAATTAGGGTAAGGCAAGAGATTAAAGGAATTTATCAATTTACAAAAAAAAAATTAATAATAAAAATCAGATGGCTGCACACAGGGATTCTGAAACTCAAGTCAGACCTCTGGTAGTTTCCAGATTACTGCTTTAAATTCTCTCTTTTTCAGACAAAAATTTATTTATTTGATTAGACAAGTAACTCAGAAATAACTGACATTAAGTTGACTCCTAGCTACCCTCCAGCAGTTTCCAAGACTGTAAATCTTTAGAGGTGAAGGTTGCCAGTCTCAGAGTTCCTGGTGGATTCAAACTGCCAACCTCAAGACTAGTAACGTATCACTGTTATAAATGGAAAAACAAAATCTTATATTGTAACTATAAGAATTGACTAAGAAGGGGAGGGAAGGAACGCAACAAAATACCAATAAAGATAAAATTCTAGTTAGCTGCTGTCTGAAGGCAAGGAATCCCCCAAATTGGGGTGTCTTGGTTGAAAAAGGGAAGATTGACAAATATAGGAGAGGTTTGATGACTCCTCACACTTTGAGCTTATTGTCAGGAGGGGCTAATACTTAGGAAAAGACATCTTGCTCGGAAAGGTGGAGGGGTCAGGGAAAGAGAGGAAGACCCTCAATGAGATGGCTTGGCACAGTGACTATAACAATGGACTTGAGTATATCAGAGCTGGTGAGGATAGCGCAGGCAGGATAAGGCAAGGTTCAGATCCATTGTTCACAGGGTCACTAGGAGTCCTAGTTCATTTGATGGCAAGTTACAACATCCTCAGGCCAGCAAACAACTGCCTAATTAGAAAAATTAACAAAAAGTGGAAAGGGAAAAAAAAAATCTTCCCTTAATTTTTTTAAAAAAAGTTTTAACACTGAACACCCTGGGAAATGTTATTTTGGAGGAAGAACAAACAAAACACAAACACTCCCAACTCCAAAAGCCTGTGTTTCAACACTGCAGACTGCCCTAGTTGGAATCTATTAAATGGATGATAACAAAAAGACACAGGAACCAGTGTTAATTGAGCAGTTACTAAGGCCCACCCAGCACTGGGCCAAGGGCTTCGTGGTCCTCAGTTCACCCAGTTGTCTTGGGGCAGGACCACGAGCAGCCCCACTTTACAGATGTGGGATCCAGGAAGGGGCCAGGGAACCACAGGGTTCCGCCTCCCAGGTCTGCCCCACTCTAGGCAGAAGAGACCGCCTCGTTCCCATGGTAACCACACCTATGGGCTGTTCTAGAAACACGTCCACAGGAAAACAACGTGCACACCGGAAGGGAACGGGTGTCAGCCAGGGAAGCACCCAGACCTTTTCACTTCTGGGTACAGGAGAGGATTGTGGGCATTTTTAAAGACTTGGGAAATAACTTCTATTTTAGAGAAAAAGAAGGGATACGGAATATCCTGCTGTATATTTTAAAAATATACACCTAAAAAAAGGCAAAGTAAAACACCCACGTCAGGGAGCTCTGGGGGCCTAGTGGCAAGAAGCTGCACTGCAATCCCGAAAGTGCAGTATCTGTCAGATGCTCTGCTGGAGAAAGGAGGTGCAATCTCCTCCTGTGCCAGATGAACCCAACTCTAAGGTACACAATAACAACAACAAAACCCCCAAAAGCCCCCGCGCCAGTGTCTGGGGATTGTATCTATAGGAATTTTATCTCTCCAAGCTGCTTCCTGGAAGTGAGGATTTTGAGGCTCCATCTCACATGCTTTGGATGCGTGGCCAGGAAGGATCAGTCCTCGGAAAAGGACATCATGCTTGGGAAGGTGGAGGGACAGCCCAGGAGAGGAAGACCCGGGATGAGATGGATTGACTCAGTGACTGGAGAAATGGGATTAGGTTTGTCGGAGATGATGAGATTGGCTCAGGACAGAGCAGGGTTCAGAGCTAATAATATCCATAGGGTCGCTGAGTCGCTGGCAACTCGATGGCATATAACACATTTCTGTTTTGTTTTGTTTTTAAATTTATATTACATGTTTTATTGAGGCAAAGAACTATATAGAAAAACACATTTGTTCTGCTTAAGGCATACTTGGGAATAAACCATTGTACAAATTATTGCACATTTGAACATTTCTGTTTTCTAAGATTGTAGACTTTTCATCCAGATTTAAAGTTGTGTTAGATGCCGCCAAGTTGACCATAACTCACAGTGACCCTGTGAACAACACATGGAAGCCTTGCTCTGTCCAGTGCCATCTTTGAGATCTCTGCCACACTCCAGCCCATTGTTGACACTGCTGTGTCAATCCATCTCCTTGAGGGTCTTCCTCTCTTTTGTGGACCCTCCACTTTCCCCAGCATGATGTCCTCAACATACACAATTAGGTTTAATCAAACTACACCACTCAGTGGCCAGGCATCTTCATGACGCAGTGGGTTAACCATTGGGCCACCAACCAAAAGTTTAGCCTCCTCAGAAACTTATGGGGCAATTTCACTCTGTCCTGTGGGGTCGCTATGGGTTGGGAATCAACTCAAAGACAATGGGTGGGGGGTGGGCTCTCAGTGGTAAACAGCAAAAGGAAGTGGGTTGTGAGGTTTCTTAGTATAAAAATGAAGACATCTCCAACCATCTGCCCTGGAATCAGTGACACAGGTATTGAGAGGCATCGACTCAAGCAGACTAAGTCTATTTGCATTAATTCTCTGGATCCTAAGATGACAGATATCATCTGCCTGACCACACATCCTATGCA